ATTGTATTAAGACTAAAACTAAGCTCTCTTTGAGAGACCACAATAAACAATAAGAGTAAAGCATGGATGTGTGCGTATCCCCGTTTGTACGCCCATGCGTGTGGAAGCCAGAGGGAAATGTTGGCCATCATTCTCCAGGTGAACTTACCAAGGAGGCTATAGTGAGCTCCAGACAGACCTGACCGTTTCCCCATAGTTCTGGAATTCTCCATGCATGCTCCCAGGCCTGGTTTTTCCTTCCAATTTTCTTCTGAGACAGGGGCTCACTCTGTACTCTAGATTGGCCCAGAACTCACTAGGGTCTCAAACACACAAGCAATTCTCCTGCTTCAACCTTCCAAGTGCTGGGATTACAAGCACGGGCCACTGTTCTTGGCTTAGAATGCAGGACACGTAAGCTAATCTCTTCTGAGTGTCTATGGTGTTGGGGCATTGTGAGGTGTAAGGACTATGGAAGTGGGTGGTATTTGGTACCTGTTCTCCAGGGTTCATAGTTTAATAGAGGAGACAGTTAAGTAAACAAAATAAAACCATTGAGTGCTACAAAATCTGTTTTAGTTGTCTAAACAAATTCATCTCTAAAGTACAGAGCAGAGAACAGGGCATTCTGTCTCTGTTACTAGAAACTGGGAACATGTAGCAGTGGACATTTGAGCTGGACCTTGAAAGATGGATAAGGTGAAGGACTTCCAGGAGAGGGAACAGCAGAAACAAACAGGAGACCATAGCACACCAAGGTGAGCACTCATTTGACCTGTACTTTCTCCAATCAGAGGTGTCTGTTATGCAGCAGAAATGTCTGACAGTCTTGAAAGTCCATGGTGAGCTTACACAAGCAGCAAGAGGAGGATGCAGATGGAGTCGCTGGAAGAGAGAGGAGGAAAGAGATTTGGAAGCTGATGAAGAAAAGGAGAAGGTGGGCAACAGACAGAAGCAGTAAAGGGCCATCGAGGATGAGAAAGGCCTTTAGATACACCAAGGGAATTCCTGATGAGTTATTGCTTAAAGAAAGCCAAGTCTTGGCTGGTCCTAGTCCTGGGGACTGGCTTGTGACCTGAAAACAAATCTGCCATGTCCTAGGACAGCTTGTACTTTTGCTGGGGCTCTCAAGTCTGGTTCATTGGGTGGTTCGATTGGCACCTCTTTGTGGTACTTTTGAAATAACCTTTCCTCTTGCCTGCCAAACTAGTAGTACACTATCTTTATTTAGGATTTTTTTTGGGGGGATCTTCATCCCTCTCTAGGCTGGTTCTCAAAGTATCTTTTGACAGTTCGTGTTCTTTTCATCTGCTGATTCATAGCATTCGTGTCAGGTCAATGTCGTCTTCTCAATATCTGTGAAGGATTGGGAAGCTAGCGCCTAATTAATAATTAATAATATTAATATTATTAATATTAATAATATTAATAATTAATGCATCCAGTTCTCCTGGTGGTCATGTATGCTAGATAGACATGGTGTCAGGTGTTGGGGATACGCAGATGAGTAAGGCCTGCGCTGAAGGAGCATACAGTCTAGCAGGGGAGACAAGTACAAGGCCAATTTTTTATCAAATTCAATGCTACATGAAATGATAAGAATTTCCCTAGGATCTATGGAAAACACACAGTGTGTGGGAGGGGGACATGGAGGGCTTCCTGCAGAGATGACTTCTGAGATGAACCTCAGAAAGGCCAATGAAGAGGGGACTCTCCAGAAGGGGACAGTATTTGGGCACAGGCATTATGTGATTGCTTGTCTAGTTTTGGAAGATTTGGTTTGGGGTCACTACCATTCGATTTGTGGTCAGAGCTATTTGTTGGTTGTGACCACCTCTGAATGAATTATGGGACAAGCTAGCAAAAGGGACATTCAGTTCAAGTGAGACATGGGGAAGAGCAAGGCAGTTAAAAAAAAAAAAGACAGACCCAAAAACAGAATGAAAATGGAGGGACAAGTGATCAACAGACGGCCCACACTCCATCCTAGTACAATGTTTGTGAAGGACCCAGCTAATGGACACATTCATTTGGGTCTTGGCTTGGAAAATTGATTCTTTTCACTTCCTTCCTGTGATTCTTCACAGTAATTCAGTTTGACCAAGTCTCATTTCCCCCACTGAGAGAAAAGAATCATGAGTGGCTCCACAGGGTTTTAATGAAGAGCAAGTGCAATAAAGCTTGTAAGGACAGTTGTCACACTGATAGGGCCAATCACACATAAAATGTTATTGCTCAAGTGCTGACCCTGGTTCCTACCAATCGAACCTTTGGATTTTACAAAATAATTGCCTTTCCCAATATTAACCTTGGAGAAGACTTGTTCAGTAAATAGTACCCAAACTTTGAATTTGCAGGTGGGGCGGGGTGGAAGCAAGACAAGAAAAAGTGATAACGAGTCTTTTTTTTTTTTTTTTTCTGTGTTAAGCAACAGCCTCCTGCTCCTGTTAACTTAATGCTATTTATTTATTTTATTTTTCTCAGTCTGACTTATTTTTTTAAATTATACTTTAGTCACCATGCAAAATAATAGGTTTTATTATTGTTGGAAATGAAATCTGTTAGTCCATTTTCAAAGGTATCTTGAGACAACTTAGGCCCAGCTACAAAGGAACAGAAGATACTAGACCCCGGCTAATGCCTATCTGTGTGGCTGCAGTCCCAACCCAAAAGCCTACTCACAAACTTCAAGTTGAGAGAAGAAAGTTACCAACATTCCTAAGTGGCCAAGCTTGCCTGCAAGGTCATGTCCCTGACAGAGACGAACTCATGCGGGGTTTTCATTGAAAAGAAGATAAATAACGGAAGAGGGAAAGATACAGTGAAGATGACGGGTACAATTGTTCTCTTCACTCAGTCAGCTGTGTCTGCCATAATGGGCTGACCCTCTACTTTTTAAGATCGCAAAATTAACTGCTTCAGTTTCACTTCTCTGAGTCTCTGGTACTCTTATTATGAATGGAGGGTTATTGTTTCTCACAATCATCACGTCTTCATACAATAGTGTCATTGCATTTCATTTTCATTCCTTCCCCTTCCCCACTCTTCTCTGACATCATCCACCTCCAGCTGCTTTTCTTTCTGCTAGCTAGTATCCCCTTCTGCTTTCCTGTTATAAAGATTCTATTGCCCTCTCTTAACTCCCACCTCCCTCAGGGTGGGCTCCCCACTTCTCAGGAGTCTTCTGAGTCTCATGACCCATAAATTGCATACATAAGCACATGCATATGGATACATACATATATATATATATATATATATATATATATATATAATTCAAAATTCAGGTTCCACATATGAGGAGAAATAGGCAGTGTTTGTCTTTCTGAATCTAGCTTATTTTGCTTAATGTAATGATCTCCAGTTCTACCAATTTTCCTGCAGATGTTATGATTTCATTTTCCTTTGTGGTTACGTAAAATTCTACTGTGTGTGTACCCTTGCGTTTCTTTATCCACTCCTCTGTTTATAGACATCTAGCTGGTTTCGTTTCCTGTGTATTGTGAATAGTGCACCAAGAAACACAAATGTGTAGACGTCTCTGTGATATGTGGACTTAGCGCTTTTTGGGTAAATGCCCAATAGTAATACCATTTAATTTGAAATGTACGTTATATCCTGTCAGGGTGGTGCATGCCTGTAATCTCAGTGCTTGGGAGGGTCAGTATTAGGATACAAGGTTATCTTCAGCTGTATGACAAATTCTAGGCCAGTGGTTTCCAACCTGTGGGTTTCAACCCCTTTGGGGTTGAATGACCCTTTCACAGGAGTCACCTAAGACCATCAGAACACACAAGTATTTGCATTACGATTCACGACAGTAGTAAAATTACAGTTATGAAGTAGCAACAAAAATAATTTTATGGTTAGGGGTACCACAACATGAGGAATAAAGGGTCCAGCCTTAGGAAGGCTGAGAACCACTACTTTAGGCCAACCTGGGATACTTGATACTCTGTCTTAGAAAGCTAAATAAATAAATAAGGCAAAATAAAGGAAAAGTAAACACTATATTATAATCATATATATTATAGCTAGGGGTGATGCCATTAGATATGAATAGGACATAGCATGCTAATAAATGATTTGTTCTTAGTATTGTGAATTTTCTTTCTTCTGTTCTTTTTTCAGAATGAAAATCTTTTTCAACCACTGATTGTCTGAGCTCTAAAACCTCAACTGTAGATGCTGGAAAGGCAGACCAACTGCTCCTATGCTCAGCAGCATCTCTTTTGGCTACATGTTTTGACTAACCTGTTTTGACAGGGGGAGTAGGGGCCTTTGAGCACACTTATCTTTCTCTTGGTGGCTCTCAAACCATCCTAAGTGGTTTGAAAGTTTAATAGTTGCAGTGGGTGTGGTGGCGCACATCTTTGGTGACGGTGCTTGGGAAGCAGAGGCAGGTGGACCTCTGTGAGTTCTAGGCCAGCCTGGTCTTATATATAGTGAGTTCCAGGACAGCCAAGGGCAGTGTGGAGAGACACTGTGTCAAAAAAGCAAAAAAAAAAAAGTTTAACAGTTGCTCATTGAAAAAAAAAAAAAAAGTCAGTACTTAGCTAGTGGATGGCAAACAACACTTGGAGGAAAGTTGGCTTTGAGGAGTGTTTTTAAAGTTCTGGGTGACATTCTAGAAGATTTACTGCACTTTAAACAAAATATTAAAGCCCTTCTGCAAACAGTTGGCTCTGTGGGATCTGGAAAGTTGCTGCCTTCTCCAGGCTCTGGAGCTGGAACTTTCCACCACAGCCTTGGCAGCAGCCAGGTAGAGTCAGTTCTCCGACACACAGCCCTGGCCTAGACTGGGCCTACCTTTTCTCCCCGAGGTATATGAGACGACACCCAGTTCCCGTTACGAAGAATGGAATATGGAGCTCTAACTGCTGCACGGAGCAAGGAATCATCAGCAGTTCTGCTAGCTGTTTGGCCTTGGGAGCGGGGTGATGTGAGTCATTTGTGAGCGTGAGGGGGCAGCTGGTGAGGGGAGGAGGTTAAATTTGTCACATTTAAAGGAAGTGAGGTACCTTACAAGTGGGGGCTCCCTCCTGCCGAAGGTGTTTCGAAATCCTTCGTGTCGCCGAAGTTCAGAGCCGAGTCCAGACGTCAGGTGACAGAACAGAACGCTCAACACCGGACCATCCGTGCCTGGTGAAGAAAGTGGCCTGGTTACACAGACGGAGGCTGTCTCACAGGCCAGGCGGCAGAATTTGACGTCACCGGATGTGAAGGCTTAATGAAATACGTAAGCAAACCGGAAGTGTGAAGAGCCGCCTCGCACAGTAAGAACAATGCAGAGGGCTTCGGTCCACAGAACGGAAATGCTAATCAACCAGGAAGGGATTGGTCTGGCTCAGAGGCGAGGAAACGGAGATACGCTGTCCTTCCTCCTGTGCCAAGCAGATTCCGTCTATGCTCTAAAGCGCTTTTTAACCTTTAAAAATACGTTTTTTAACTTTCATAAATACGTTTCCATTCAAATATATCACACACTTTGGTCATATTAACTCCCACATTCTCTCCTTTCTACCTATCCCCTTAGAGACAACTTTGTTTTTTTGAGACAGGGTTTCTCTTTGTATAGCTTTGGCTGTTGGCTGTTGTGGAACTCACTCTGTAGACCAGGCTGGTCTCGAACTCACAGAGATCCGCCTGCCTCTGCCTCCCAAGTGCTGGGATTAAAGGTGTGTGCCACCACCTCCCAGAGAGACAACTTATTTTTAATTAACATTTTTTTTCATTTACTATATTTTGATTATGTTTTCACCCTCCCCCTTTCAATTCCTCCCAGGTCCTCCCCACTTCTCTACCCAACAAACTTTGTTCTTTCTCTCTCTCTTTCAAAAAAACCAAGAAACAAAACAAAACACCACGTAAAAACAACAAAAGTCAAAACAAACAAAAATTCAATAAGACAAAAAAAAATTGCCTAAAAGCAACAATAAGCCTGTAAAAAACTGAGTTTCTTTTCTGTTGGCCAACTACTCCAGGGCATGAGGCCTTCTCTGGAGTGCGGCTGATATTCTCATGATGCTCCACTGGAGAAAGCCAATCTCTCTTTTACCAGTGGTTATTGATTATAAGTAGATTCTTGGCTAGCGTATGTGTGGGGTTTTGAATCAGAATGAGAATAGGCTCATACGCTTGAAAGTCTGGTTCCTAGTTGGTGGGCTGTTTAGGAAGGATTAGTAGGTGTGGCCTTTTGGAGGAGGTGTGTCCCTAGGAGTGGGCTTGGCAGTTTCAAAAGGTCTGGTCTTGTACTCTCTACCTGGAATTTGCAGACCAGATGTGAACTCACTACTGCACCAAGCCTGCCTGTCACCATGCTGCCTGCTATGATGGCTCTGGACTGGTCCTCTGGAACTATAAACAAGGCCCACTTAAATGTTTTCCTTTATAAGTTGCCTTGGTCATGATGTCTCCTCATAGTGATACAACAATAACTAAGACAGAGTGCGACCCCGAGTCCATTTCCTTCTCTCAACGCTGGGGCCTCATCTGGCTTGAACCCCTGCAGGCCCCGTGCACGCTGCCACAGTCTCTCTGAGTTCAGATGCATGCCAGTCCTGTTACGTCTGGAAAACGCTGTTTCCTTGGAACCAAACATCCCCTCTGAATCTCAAACTCGTTCTGTCTCTTCTACGTAGATTCCCTGAACCCTGGGGGGAGGGCTTCGATGAAGACATACCAGTCAGGACTGAGTGTTCTGAAGCCTCCCACTCTTTGCACACTGTCCCGCTGTACTGCTCTGGGTTTAGTCCCATCAACTGCAGGAGGAAACTTCTCCAATGGGGACCGGGTGAGGTATCACCCAGGAAACGTTTTTCTTCTTTTCTGTTTTTTATTTTATTTTATTTTATTTTATTTTATTTTATTTTATTTTATTTTATTTTATTTTAATAACCTGAACTGAATTAGGGTTGCTTGAATGACTACAGGTCGATTATTATTTCTAAACTATGAACAACTTAATGGTGGCTACATCACTGAAGAAAACAAAAATCCCACTCCCATTCGATACTTTCCCCCCTTGTTTCAAAGTTATGAGTTAAAGTAGAAATCCTCCCAATCACCCACATTGCAGTGCCCAGGGTGGTGGAGCTGGGGCAAACTCACACTGAAGCTTGTTCCCGTATCATGCTGTTGAAGTGTATCAGGACTTTGATGGAAGGTGGACTGCTTTCTGAGGGACTGATGCTAAGCTGATCTCTAAAAGTAGGATAGATTTCTCAAGAGTGGATAGTTCTTTCCAGAGCCCGTTAAGAAAGACAGTGATCCGCTCTGTCTCCCGTCCTCCCTTGCTGTATGACCTACCTGTTGCCTTTGCATGCTCCTGCTCTCTGAGGTCAACGCTGCTCCTCCACAACTGTATCATCATGCAGTTCAAAGCTGGCCTTTGCCAGAGCCCTGTGCCAGGCTATCTGAGCAGAAATAAGAGCCAAGTAAATCTCTTTTCTTTATATATTACCCATCCTCTGGCAATTGTTATAGCAACACAGACTAGGACTTTCCTGCTGACTCGTTGATACACCATCCAAACACTTCAGGGTCCTCTCCACAGAGAATATGAGCAATGTATGGTACACATCTTTCTAATCCCCACTCCAAGGATGGTCAGCTGGCCACTGATTGAACACTCCATCCTCTTCCCTCCTTATTGGAAAAGTTTTCCTGAAGCGTATAGTAAATTCTGATATGTCAGTATGTCTATTTATGCATTCCTTCCTCTTACTGCTAACCCTGAATTTGTACCAATATTCATTTTTTTAAAAGTATACAGTACAAGTTAAGCTCATGAGCTAAAATACGTTCTTACTATTCTTTTTCAGAATATTATTTGTCTTCCCTTTGATTTTTCTTTTGATGTTTCATGTGCATCCAGCTATATTTTGGCCAATTTCTGTTCCTTTCCCTGCACAGCCCTTCTTCTCTTTTATCTTTGAGGTAGTCACATTAAAGTCTTTGAAGGGCTGGCAAGATGGCTCAGTGGCTAAAATCACTTGCTGCTAGAGTCACCTTCATCCTTCAGTGAACACAGAAATATCACAGCAATATGGAGATGTCACCATCAAGAGGAGTCAGTGACCCCTTCTGAGGGTCAGACTGTATTCTACCCATTGTGGTTTCATTTTGTAGCACTCAGATGTCCAATTTTGTTTCAGATAATCCAGGACACTAAAGAACAAACAACAAACATGTTATTTGGTTGGTGGTGTGTGCCCATAGTCTTAGCTACTTGGGGAACTGAAGCAGAGGATGGACTGAGGGCCAGGGGGTGAGGCTACAGTGAGCTATGTCTTTGGGGCTTGTTGGCCCTCAGTGAGCTTCAGGTAAACATAAGAGACCCTGTCTCAAAAAATAAGGAGGGGGTGGTGACTGAGGAAGACACTCAACATTTACACACATACCTACATTCTTACACACATGTGTGAGCATGCTTACACACCACACACACACACATGAAGAAAGAAGAAAAAGAAAATGAGGTGGTAACTGGAAGACCCCAGGGTGAGTTTCCTATAAGGGCAGTGCAGCTTTCTGATGATATATTGAGCAAATGCCCGGACAGCTCCACTTGTATAAATCCCACAGCCAGCAGCCCCTCATTTGCGAGGTACTTTTTTAGTTCAAGAATCAAATAAAGTCTAGAATAGGGCTGGAGGGATGGCTCAGTGGTTAAGAGCACTGTCTGGTCTTCCAGAGGTCCTGAGTTCAATTCCCAACAAGTACATGATGATCATATCCACAATGTGATCTGATTCCCTCTTCTGGCATTTGGGTGTACTTGCAAATAGAGCTAGCATTCATATACATAAAAATAAATAAATATTTTAAAGTCTAGAATCTTCTCAAGGTCAAAGCGCTATGGCTGTGACTTCTGGTAACCCCAGCATCGTGCTGAACACAGGGCACCAACTAAAGAGCCCCAGCTGATAGATTTACTACGGGAGCAAGACAAAGCAATGCTTGAATGCTGCCAAACCGCACTTGGAGAGAGCCCACGAATAATAAAATTCTTCATAACTCCTGGTTTAACCCATCTTCATTGACGCAACACCCAACTAAAGAGCACTGGCTCCTTTCCAGTTCCTCCAACCCCATCATGAAAGGCAGGAAAAGCCAGCTAAGAGCCTGAAGGAGAGACCCAGATCCCCGAGCTTATAGGTTACTCCGACTCCTCTTAGGAAAGAGCACTGTTTTCCCGAAAAATTTCCCTGGAAGTTGAAACAGAAAGTTGCTCTGACAGCATTAATCAACACCAGGGGGCCGGAGAGAAAGCAGAGTCAGGAGAACTTCAGAAGGACGGAGGCAGGGGACAGTCTAAGGACCTTTGAAAGGCTTCCAGCATGGTTCTTGGCACCCAGCATGGTGGCCCTCCACGTCACTTGAATCCGAAAGTTTGAAAATCGTTTTAAATTTATTTCATAATGACAGAAGCCTTCTGTGTTTTTTTGTTTAAAAAACAAAACAAAACAAACAAACAAAAAACCAACAACCCAAAAGCTACAGAGAAGCAAAACAAAAACATTTACCACTGGTTCTGTCACCATTCCCAAGATAAGAACTGACATTTCGGTAGAGAATATGCTACGTCCTATGCACCTCTTTCCCTCTTAAGTAGAATCACAGCACATTCTTCTTATTGTATGCAGTTCCTTGGCTTTTTAGCTGGTAATATTCCCTCTTCATCTTAAGATATTCTAGTTTTGGCTCTGACCTCACCGGCGGCTTGTCTTCTTCAGGATTTAGATGTCTCGACTGTGAAATATAGAGTTTGACGCCAGTAATGCACAAAGCCCCTCTATCTCCATCCTTCTAACTGGCCAGGAACTGAAGAAGACAGAACGAGGCAGGGGGTTGTTACCAATCTTGCATCATGCAGGTTCTGATCCCACCTCTGCTTGGAAGGCCCTGGGCAGGTTTATTGCTCTCCTAACGGCTTTCTTTTCTCTGAGGTGGCATCTGTGACAGGCAGTGCCACCTACGGTGGTGTGAGTATCAACGGATGACATGATGGCAGTGTTTGGCACGTGATAAGACTCCATGAGCAATGGCTGTGATCACTGTCTCGATCAGGTGCTAACTTTGCTGAGGTGAGCGTAGAAACAAGCACATAAGAATCGAACTCTCCTTTGAGCTCTCACATGGGCTGAGCACACTGGACGCTGCTGATGAATAAAATAAGTAATTTATCATCTAATTTATCGTCTCCATGCCACACACCAGGAAACTGAGACTAGAACTTGCTGGGTTCGGGTGAGGATCAAACCCCAAACACTGTGGCTTTTCACATGGTTTTGGCCGACTTGAGAGGGACATTAGTCAGGTACTTTATTTCAGAAAAGAAGCCCCAGGCCTAGAGAGGTGTTCCAGTGATTAAGAACACTTGTTCTTGCCCAGGACCAGGGTTTGGTTCCCAGGACCCACGTGGTGGCTTACGCGTAACTCCAATGGCATACATGGGGGAAAACACTATTACGTATAAAATAAAAATAAATCTTTAAAAAGTCCAGTTATTTTCCCCTGTGGCACTCAGCACGCATTTCTTCCAAAAAGATATTTTATTTGTACTTACTTGTGTGTGTCTTTTTCTATGTGCACATGTGTGCAGGTTACACAAAGGCCAGAGGAGGGCGGTAGATTCCCCGGAAGCTGGAGTTACAGGGTGGATGTGAGCCGCTTGATCCGGGGGCTGGGAACTGATCTCTGGACATCTGAAAAAGCGCAAGGCATTCTTAACCCCTGAGCCAAACCCATAGTCATACAGCAAGGGTTTCTGGTTCTTCACTCTAACTGTATTGTAACAATTCCAGTGTTTGACAGTGAAAACACAAGGGTTTTAATTAATTAATTAAATTATTTATCTGTACATTCTGATTGGCTTCTGGATAACCAAGCACAGATGGGTTGTTTTATAAAATTATTATAAAAATGATTTGTACATATATGCAGATAACAACAATTAGTATATATATATTAAAAAAAGGCCATGATTTTCAAAGAGAACAAGGAGGGGTACATAGGAACATTTGGAGGGAGGAAAGGGAAGGAGGAGGCAAAATATTAGAATCTAAAAAAAAAAACAACAACAACAGCAACAAAAAACCAGAACAATTTTTACTTGACTAGTAAATTTAATTTTATAGTTTTTAATTGTACAACCGATTTGGTCCCTTAAGTTCTAAAATAAAATAAGGAAATCTCGATGAAAGCCTCTGGCTTGGGAGGGTCGTGATGTGAGCTGTGATTTTTTTACCCCCTGCCTGAGGATGTCAGAACTCGGTCCAGGGATTTGGGCTGCCTGATGTGTCTGAGGTCCATCAGCGAGGACAGTGACTTCATGTTGGCCTATGTTTTTTCTTCTAAGGAGAAAACTAAATAGCTCAGCACAGATCAGCTTGCGTTTGCTTATTCAGAGGCGGAGTCCCGCTAGGCTGTCCAGACTGGCTTTGTCCTGAGGAGGAACTGCTCACAGGGCCATCTCATGGGCTTTCTTTACCTCTGAGTGGGTGTGCGGCCTTAGTTGTGGAGAAAGAGAAGCCAGCCAACTTCTTTTTTTTTTTTTGGCTTGGGCCCAACGCAAGGAGCACCACGAATGTCTCATCTAACTCAGACTCCGGGTGGAGCCACAAGTTTCTGAGCTCAGAGTCAGCTGCTCCAGAGACCCCTCCGGGCTCGCACTGGGAGAGGCCAGCGGCGCGTCTGCGCTACGTGCTGCGCTCGGGGTTCGGGCACCGCAGCGGGGTCCTGCTTGGCCCAGGGCTCCCCGACACCGCACCCGCCTTCCAGCACGCTCGGGGCACGGCCAGCCCCGCGCTGATCACGTTTGGGGAGCAGGGGCTAGTGTCCGGGCTGCGCGCTGGTTGGCCCGGCCATCGGGCCGCCGATTGGTCCGAGAAGCCAGCTCACGTGGTCGGGGCTCTGATAAGGTGCCTCCCGGGCCTCGGGCGCCCAGTCGGCGGGCTGGACCGCGGCGCTGCATCCGCTGGGTGCTGGGTTCTAAGTCGCTCTGGGTGCGGTTGTCGCGGTCGCCGCTGCCTCTCGACCCAATGAGCTGCACCAGGTAACAGAGGGGATCCTGCAGCTGCGGGGACTTTGGGGGCGTCCGTGGTTTTTGTCTTGTCTGCAGATGGAGACCCTCAGGTTGATGGCTAAGTTGTAATTGTCCCGGAGGCCTTGAAGGGGTGGAATTTGAGTTGTATTTCTTAGCGCCTGTTTTGGGACTCAGCATCCCAAAGCAGAGACTGCTATAGTGAGTCAGGTTTAGCTGGGATTTCCTTGCTGAAGCAACTGTTGCCTTTGAGCGCAAAGACCCAAGCTCTCGGGGACAGCTTAGTTTGCACCCCGACATGGCTGGTGAAGTAGTGTAGGCTGTGGCATCAGTTATAAGACGATTTTGCTTGTATCCCCCACCCCACCCCCACTTGCCTTCTCCTGGTCTGTCATAGAAAATTTATTCTTAGAGTTTGAGCAAAGTATCATTTTTAACTCTTGGCAGGGACTTAGGATTCCAGGGAAATAGCCCTATACTAAAACTTTCTATAAATGCAGAAGTGAAAAAAAAAAAAAAAAAAAAAAAAAAAAGAGCTCACCCCTCCAGAAACAAAAAAAGACAAAGCCGAACAACAGCTTAATCAGCCAAGCAACCAAGAACAGCCCAGGAAAATTTGCTGCTCCTCCAGTTGTGACTTAGTTGAAGAACTCTCTCCCTCCCCCAATCCTACCCTTTGAGCTTTTGTTGCTGTAAGTTTGTAACCCCTCAGGAAAACCCTAGCGCTGTTAACGCGAGCTCTGCACGCCTTCCTTACTGTGGTGAGGACCGTTTGCCAGCGTGCTTAGGGCTGCTGTGTAGAGAATTCTTCAAGCCAGAGTATCCGTATGATCAAAATGTGTTACACACGGATGTCAACTGTTACAGAACAGATACTTTAAAAATGAAGCCGAGACCGAAAATGGCCACCCACTGTATTTCTTGTTTCCTCTACCTCTAAGGATGAAATTGGTGAGGAAACTACAAATTCCCAATATAGAGTGAGGGCAAGGGAAAGAAAGACCAGAAAAAAGTCTTGATGGATGATTCTTGGTTTGATACTAACAATCGTTATTGTGTTTCTGCTTGTAAATACCAGTTTCTCAAACAATAGAAAATACCAAAGACAGACTGTGTAATTCTGTCATGCAAAGATAATTAACATTTTAGTGGTTTTTCTCCTGTAAAGGGTTTCAGCATTTATAAAATTATATATCTACTATGTATTTTAAAACAGTTTGATTTTCAGGTTATCAGTTCTTTTTAAAAAACACAGCTTATTTTGTATATAAAATGTACACATCAAGTTACAAAACAGCGACATAGTGAAGTGCCTCTTACTGAACAGAATTGGCGGGTCTGTTATCTCAGCAGCCAGCTTTTCCATTGACACTTGGACTTGTCATGGGCATCTTTCTATATGAAGTGTAGGTTATTTAAAGTTTCTCCTTTAGTATGTGAGAGGTTGGCTGGTGTTGCATTGGCCATTTGTGGAAAAAAAAAATGAGGATGAACTTGATGAAATGCAAAAGTGGTTTTGGCTTCACCTAAGAACTACACGAGATTTTAAAAGCCACCTCATTGGTCTCTTCTCAAGTGCATTGCTTTTCCAGAGGTGTAAAACCGATTCAAGATCCAGAATAAGAAATAGAAGCTAGAATAAGCAAGAGGGTCTGTCTGGGACTAAGATTATGGAAGGCCGTCTGGTCAACAGAGCCAGGGAAGCTTCAAGAGCATTTTCCCTTGTTTGGCTCCAGGCCACGAAGCTCCACTGTAGTGGTTCTAAGTCCCAGGAATCTGCTCCGTCCCCCCCCCCCCAAAAAAAAAAAAAAAAAAAGAAACTCCTTAGCTCATGTTGGCCCTACACATTTAAGAAGCACTGGCCCAGAGCAGAGCACACAGGTCTAGGAGCTGGGTCAGACATCATCTGGTCCAACCCTCTGATTTCTCAGCCGGGGAGACTGAACCCTGTCTGAGTGTTTCAGGCAGTTTACACATGGGCCGGTGGTCTGCCAAGTGCAGAGCTGGCCTGCAGGTATAATCACCTGGTGTTCTCCCTTTCTCCATGTGACGGCACCTCCCTGATAACCACGTGTGCCTTTGGGCCCAGGGGCGGACTGCCCGGACCCTGGTGGTTACCGCTCTCCCTTTTTCTCATTCCAGAATGATCCACGTGCTGGACCCGCGTCCCCTGACAAGTTCAGTCATGCCTGTGGATGTGGCCATGAGGATTTGCTTGGCTCATTCACCACCTCTGAAGAGTTTCCTGGGGCCTTACAATGACTTTCAACGAAGAAATTTTGTGAATAAACTGAAGCCTTTGAAGCCATGTCTCAATGTCAAGCAGGAAGCCAAATCGCAGAATGAATGGAAGCGGCCTCGCGACCAAGCCAAGAAGCGGGTCGTGTTCGCTGACTCCAAGGGGCTCTCACTCACTGCCATCCACGTCTTCTCCGACCTCCCAGAAGAACCTTCGTGGGACCTGCAGTTTGATCTCTTGGACCTTAACGAGATCTCCTCCAGCCTAAAACTTCACGAAGAGAACAACTTGGTCTTCGATTTCCCCCAGCCTTCAAGCGATTACTTGAGTTTCCGGGACCGCTTTCAGAAGAACTTCGTCTGCCTAGAGAACTGCTCTCTGCAAGAGCGAGCAGTGACCGGGACAGTCAAAGTGAAAAACGTGAGCTTTGAGAAGAAGGTTCGGGTCCGGATCACCTTTGACACCTGGAAAAGCTACACAGACGTGGACTGTGTATACATGAAGAATGTTTACAGTAGCTCAGACAGCGACACCTTCTCCTTTGCCGTCGACTTGCCCCGTGCCGTTCCAACCGAGGAGAAGATCGAGTTTTGCATTTCCTACCATGCTAACGGGAGGGTCTTCTGGGACAACAACGAGGGTCAGAATTACAGAATCGTCCATGTGCAGTGGAAACCCGATGGCGTGCAGACGCAGCTGGCACCCCAAGACTGCTCATTCCAGCAGGTGCCTCCCAAGACTGAGTTAGAACCCACGGTCTTTGGCAGTCCCAGGCTTGCTAGTGGCCTCTTCCCAGAGTGGCAGAGCTGGGGGAGAGTGGAGAACCTGGCCTCCTATCGATGAGTTAGGCAATCTATAGACTGGCTTTGTCCGATCATACTCCTCATCCGATTCTAGGTCTGTATTGCTCAACAGTAGGAAGTCTTAGCTACTTTCCACGAGTAGATTTAGGTATGAGCTGTTGGGGCCTGGCTACGGAAGATATAGCCACGTGAGAATTTAGTGTTGGGGGCCTCTGAGGGTGATGCCGCCCAGCCCTGTTTGGAAGGATCGAGTGACAGCCTGGGAACTGGTTTTAAATAAGCAATACCTTGTTCCAAAGGTGCATTTTGACACTTCCCTCTTGGTTCACTAGCTTTCGCTTTGGACAAGGAAAGGTCTGAGGACAGCTGATGGTGATGGGACGCTGTGGTGAGGGTGTGAGAAATGTGAAGGGCTCCGGGCCTCAAGTCAGAGAAGGGGCAGGGGGACTGATGGTTAACCCTTGGTGGGAGCACATAAAGTTAACTTGTGTTTCAAGGCGGGTTCTACTGGGTGAGGACACACTTGAGGGGAAAGAGATCCATTCTATGTATTCTTGCAGAGAAGAATAAGGGGTGTTGGATGGTACTGGGGGAAGATGAACTGTAGTTCTGAAGAATCAGGATCTCGAGGGCTAGAGGCGTAGCTCAGTTGGTAGGGCGCTTGCCTAGCATGTGTGAAGCCCTGGGTTCCAGGCCCAGCACCATAAAACTGGGGGTGTCAGCACAGGCCTCAAATCCCAGTACATTAGGGTAGAGGCAGGAGGATCAGGAATTCAAGGTAGTCCTCGGCACAGAGAAAGTTGGAGGCCAGCCTGGGCTGTACGAGACCCTGTCTCAAAGGAATAGAAAAGGACAATGAAAAGATCTTAAGGGAACCCCTTCAGTTTAAACGTGGCCTGTCAGAAACCATGTTCTGGGGAGTGGCTAAGCAAATCCAGCTTTGCATTAGTCTTAATCTTATAAGTGACCTTGTGATCAGGGCATCATTCTTGGGTTCTTGGTACAGAATAGTGTAATGCCACCGGCATGTAGGGACTCCACGTCATGTCAGAGGCAGCTCTTTCAGTGCCTTGATTAACCCAGAACACCGTAGCTGCTTCAACCGGTTACCTGCATGGCCATCTGAAAACTCACGCATTTTTTTGGCCTTATTTGAAGGTCCGTTCGCTGGCGTTCTCCTGAGATAGCGTTGCATCGTCAGGAGTGCTGTCAGGGTCCACAACTCACATCCTTCATATTGAAGGTGACTCATCTCTCTGCCACACTTTTTCGATGTGATGTCTGAAGGGGGGGGGGGGCGCTGACTGACATGAGAGTCTCGATGCAAGAATTCAGCACCTTGCACATGAAAGTATCCGTCTATCTCATGCCTACCCTGGTCTTGCTGTTTTAATTTCAAGTCAAAATGATTTTTTTTTTTTAAAACGTTGATATGAATTACTCCGATGTGAACTGTTTCTGTGTGCGCGCATAAATCCGCCTTGTGGGATCTCAGGTGACTGTCAGGTGGCCTGGGATGTTTGCTGGTTTCATTGTGCGTGTCCTTTGAGGGGTGTTAGAGTGCAGTGGCTTGTAAGATATGTGATCTGCCACGCTGGAAAAACTCTCCTCTGACAGTACTTGAGGTTTGGCTAGCATCCACGAGTTCTCTGCTGTAAATATCTACGCTGTCCCCATGAGGCTCTCACTTTAATAAATGTGCTTGGTAGAAGGTCTGAGAATGCTTTCTTTTCCCCAAACCATCACCAGTCAAATCAGAAGCTTGGCGATTGTAGTTCTCCTGTCTTGCCTAGCACTGAGTGACCTAGCAGAACTGGTTTGGACCAGGAAGTGGATTCACCTACGAACATTCGCCAGCTTCAGTCTCCTTAGTGACCTCAGGGCCTTTCACTGACAGCTGGGGCTTGGGTCCGGGGGCGATGAGCTGAGCTGCTGTAACTGTCTCTCCATGGTTACTTCTCCTCTTACGTGTTCTCCGCTAGGCCGGGTCAGCATCCTGGCTGGGACGGGGGCTGCTGCTCACTTTTACAGTGGGGCAGGGGTGGGGCAGGAACCTCACTTTTGAGCTCTCATACCTTCCTGAGGGTGAAGCTTAGAGCTGCAGAGAAGACTCAGGAGGGCCCTTGGGTGTTGTCTTGGGCTGAGGGGGAGGCACAGCCCTTTAGGGTGAGTCAACAGGTCCATGAACCTGAGCTGCTTTTTCAGTTTTGCCCAAAATTTCCATGGACGTCTTCACACGGTATCTTTTTTTTTTAACCTTCTTTATTGGAAAAAAATATTTTGATCATGTTTTTCCCTCTCCAAATTTCTCCCAGGTTCTCCCTACCTATTCAAAAAAATTTTTTAAGTCTCTCTTTACAAAACAAACAAACCTCCCACTTCTTTAATACAAAATGGAAATAAAAATAAACAAGCAAAAGAGCCATAAGGCAAAAAAAAAAAAAAAAAATGCCCAAGCAAAGCAAAATGAGACAAAAAGTCTACAAAAATACCATTGAGAGTTGTGTGTGTGTGTGTGTGTGTGTGTGTGTGTGTGTTGGCCCTATTCCTGGGCATGGGGCCTGCTCTGGAGTGTAGTTAATATACCCAATGACACATCATTGGAGAAAACAGCTTTTCTTAGCCAGAGGATTTCAACTGCAGATAGCTTCTTGGTTAGCAATGGGAGCGTGAGGCCTCCCCTCTCTCTGCTGGGACCCACCTGGCTTGAACCTGGGCAGGCCTTGTGTGTGCCGCCACAGCCAGCTCATTTGTGCGTCTTCCCTATCATGTCTGGAAAACAGTTTCTGTGGTACCATCCAGCCCCTCTGGCTCTTACAGCCTCCTCTTCTGCATAGGCCCCTGAGCCCTAAGGAGAGGGCTCTTGTGAAGACATCCCATTTAGGGCTCAGTGCTCCAAAGTCTGTCAGTCTCTGCACATGGTCTGCTTGTGGGTCTCCGTTTTCACAGTCTCTTAAATTGAAGAGATAACAGTGACTAGTCCATTTGAGATGCTGGACTGTAAGAATAAACTATTATAACACAGCATCTTCTATATTGGGGGCTTTAAACTACAAGACTTACAACAGTTGTATTTTATTTGGTACACAGATTTTTCTTTTGTTATTTTTTTGAGACAGGGACTGACTTTGTAGCCATGGCTGGTCTGAAATTCTCTATGTAGACCAGACTGGACTCAAACTTGATGCACTCTGCCTGTTTCTGCCTCCTAAATGCTGGGATTACAAGTGTTTGCCAGCACATCTAACATACAATATTTTAAGAAAATTCATTGTCAAGGCATAACAGTGAGCAGACTTACAAAAAACACTAAATGTCATTTTTTTTTTCTTTAAAATTGCAAGTTCTGTCCTCCTGGCAACAACTGTGAGGAGCTGAAAATCAGCCACCCCCTTTAGAGAGGGCATGCTACCCTTAATGGGGCAAGCATGGGGTGTTTGCCAACGTCTGTACCCATGGCTCTATTCCAGTACACTGTTGGCTGGTTTCTGAAGGTCGCGGTCAGCATTTTGTCCCTTCTGCTGGATCTATTCACAGTAATGACTATGTGAAGAACGCTCTCTTCCAAGAGGTGGACAAAACTCAAACTGAGGTTTGAAAACCATGAGACTCCAATATAAACTGTATAAAAAAAGAAAATAAGATTGAGAGGGGGAGTGTCTAGCTCAACCTGTGCCTGGTTGGTCAGTGGCTTTTGGCCTAGTGTTCCTTCCTGCTCTTGACATTTCTTGAAGTCTCCCATGAGACCCTACTTCTCAATAACTGGGGAGCTGAAAGAAAGAGCTGTTTCTGGACAGGCATTACTCTGACCAGCTTTTCTTAGCTGCCGGTGTCAGCTTTATCTGGTGTTGGCATATTCATAGGCCGAGTAAGGATCTGCTCAATAGTTGGGTGCTACACAGGGCTATAATTGTTCCATTTCATGTTATGATAGCTGCCTATCACAGTGAGAAGCAATGCTGTCTTTAGGATTAACACAAGGGTTGTTAGATGACTCTGTAGTTAGTTAAGAGCTATTCCTGCAAAAGACCGAGTTTGATTCTCAGCATCCATGCTGGTTGACTCACAACTGCCTGAAACAGCACTTCCAAGGGATCTGCCATTTGCTTCCAGCTCTGTGGGTACCTGCACATATATGACATGGATTCACCAGACACACACACACACACACACACACACGTAAATAAAAATCTTTATCAAGAAGATTTAACATGAGGAAGGATGGGGAGATAGCTCAGTTGAAGTGCTGGCTGAGCCAGAATGAGGACCTGAGTTCATAGTCTCAATATCCATGAAAAAGATGGGCATGGTAGCACACGTCTGTAATTCCCATGCTGGGGAAGCAGAGTCAAAAGGATCCTTGGAGCACCTCAGCCAAATCAGTGAACTCTAGGTCAGTTATAAACCCTGTCTCGAAAAAATAAGGCGCAGAGCAACTGAGGAAGACATCTGATGTTAGCCTCTGGCTGCCACATGTACATGCTCATACCTGTATACACACACACACACACACCACACAGATAGAAAAACATACAGTTACAGATAGACACACACAGACAAACATGCATATGTACAGACAGACACAGACAGACACACACACAGACTTACATACATACAGACACACACATACATACAGGCAGACAGACAAACATACAGGCACAGACAGACCGACACACAGTCACACACAGACAAACATACAGACAGACACAGACATACCCATGAGATTTAACATGGAAGAATGGCTTCTTTTAATCTTGGTGAATGATTAACTGCCTCAGTTTAGAAGAACAAGGTGATTAAGTGGCTGAGAGGAGTCTTCTAGCATTTTTGTTTGCTTCTATTTCTAACTCACTATGTAGCTGAGGATAACGATGAACCTGATCTTTCCTCCACCTTCCACATGGAGGCTGTAGGTGTGGGCTGCCATGGGACGCTCCTCCACTGCTTTTGTTTTGTTTTTCTTTCCACAAGCAGGTGATAAAATGGAGGCCCAGAGATTAAAACTTGCTTGAAAAAAAAAAAAAGTCTACACTACCCTGTTCCAAAAAAAGAGTTTAATAAACTAAAGGAAGAACTCCATTGCGTTCTAAATTTACATCTTTTTAAAACTGAAAATAGGTCTTTTTCATTCAAGTATATTCTGATCTCAGTTTCTCCTCCCTAGTCTCCTCCCAGTTCCTTCCTACTTCCCCACCCATTCAACTCCAAGCCTTCTTTCTCTCCCTCTTTAGAAACCAAGAGGGAGAGGCAGGTGGATCTCTGTGATTTCAAGGCCAGCCTGGTCTGTTCGGGACAGTCAAGGCTACAGAGAGAAACCCTGTCTCAAACCAACCAAACAAACAAACACCCAAAACAAACCAAAACCAAAAACCCCAAAACAAACAAACCAAAACAAAATAGAACAACAACAAATAACCCAAAGATGAAGCATAAAACGGAGATACACAGACACATACCTATACAACCCACCTGAAAAAAAAATAAAACAACACAAAAGGAGAAACCGCAATATATAAGCAAAAGACCAGTAAGTTTTTTAATAATGCCCAAGCAAAGCATTAGAGACAAGAATTCTCCCATAATACCGTGAGTTCATTTTGCATCGAGTATGGAGTGTATACCCGGTGAGGTCCAATGGAGAAAACTAATTTTTCCTTTGCAAGTGGTTGCCAGTTGGAGTGGGTGGGGGATTATGTCCTCTTCCCCTTCCCACCGCTGGGACTCCATCTGGCTCGGAGTTGCGCAAGTCCCCGTGTGTGCTGTCCCAGCGTCTGTGAGTTCCTACATGTGTTAGGCCTGCTTCATCTGGAAGCCTCTGTTTCCTTGGTGTCCTCCATCTCTGCTGGCTCCTGCACTCTTCCAGTCTCCTCTTCCACAGGGTTCCCTGAGCTCTGGGGGTGGGGGTGGGGAAGGAATTCGTGGTCTCCTTTAGGTCCCTCACTCTCTGCACACTGTCCAGGTGGGAGTTTCCATCTGCTGCAGGAGGGAGCTCCTCTGATGATGGCTGAGCAAGGTTCTGATTATATTTGCCTTTTTGTTTTCTAAGTTTATGAGTCTTTCTTTATCCCTAAGCCAAAAGGCCGTAGCTAGGTGAAATGGGATCGACCCACACATTTTCCTCAGAGTTCCAAAGTGTTATGAAAAGTCAGTCCTTCAAAAGGAGCTAAGCAATAGTTTCCACATTTTTCTTGGAGTTTTCACGAAGCTGCTGGGGGCCGTGGCCTGTCATTAGTGCGCAGGGATTGACCCCAAACTCGAGCAGTTCTCACACCCAGTTCTGTTATCTCTGCCTCCTCACCCCCTCTGCCTGTGAGAGGATGCCCACTACAGGGCCTGGAGGGCTCCTGCCGCCAGCGGTCCTAACCTTGGCTGCACATCAGAACCATCCTGCGAGTTTTGAAAGGTACAGATGCCTCTCTCTGTGCCTCCTAAGGTTGATATTTCATTCCTCTGACCCGTAGGCTGGGCGTTGGGTGTTTCCGAAGACTCTCCTCAAGGTTGAACACTGGGTGAAATGTCTTTAACTGCCACGGTTTCAGAGGACCCCCTCATCACCACCACCACCAAACATCAAAACAGTGAACAAACAAGTGAACAGGCAGACAAGACAGATTGGGGTCCCAGAGGTTAGCGCTTACCTGTAATCATAGCAGTAACAGTACCGGACTTCCTGTCCCCTTTGCAGCACCCCTATTTCCGTTTTCCCTCCACTGTC